ATGATGAAGAGAAAGGGAAAGATCAAAGGAAAGGTAGATGTAAGGGGAGGATGAGAAGAAGGGGGAAGATGAAAAGAAAGGGTAGATGAAAGGGGAAGATGAAAAGAAAGGGGAAGATGAAAGGAAAGGGTAGACGAAAGAGGAAGATGAGAAGATCATATCTACTCTAATACCAGGTCAGAGAATTTAGAGAGAAAGGAGAAAACGAAGAGAGAGAAGAGACAGATATGAAAGAGAGAGAGAAGAGACATCTAAGAGAGAAAGAGATTGACGTGAGGTTCAAAGCTAACCCCCTCATGCACCACTATATATAATTAGAAAACATGAAAGGCATTAAAAAAAGCGAAAGCTTTGAATAGATTTATGAAAGATCAGAATGATAATCACATCGAAATTTAGAAAATGAACCAATTGTTTTGGAGTCAATTCAAATTCACCTCGACATATAAAAGCTTGGCATGGTGATAATTGAGAAACTCCTTTAAAATAAAATCTCGGGCAAATTTTGGTCAAATTAGGTCCAAATGTCAAATACATTTACCGGCATACAAAATGCAAAGAAAAGGAAATAGAGTGCATAAAAAGTTCAAATTTATTAAAAAATACATTAAAGACTCTTAACACCGGTGAAAAGTCGTGGTCAGATGAGTGCTTGAGTACATAATGTCCTCATATTAATGTGGAGCATTCAAGTAAGGACAACGTTTATATGGAGTCGAGGCTCTAAACAATCAAATTAGAGCCCACCTCAAAAAGCTCTAAACAATCAAATTAGAGCCCACCTCAATAAATTGACTAAAAGAGGTTGTTTTGATGCCCAAATATCCTCAAATTGGTCATCTGGACATCATGATGCATTGACATGAGAAAAAAATGAATTTCAAAGTTTGGAAATAGTACATCTTGTAATGTATTTTTGGACTGTCAATTTTCAACATTTTCAAGTTTTCATAGATCTGCTTGATCTACACTATTTTTGAAGCTTTAAATTTTATAATTAAAAATGAAACTACATTTTAAGGCTATCACAAAGATTTCTAGTATTGAAGCCACTATTTGAAGGTGTGCTTTACTTTGATTGTTTAGAGACTCGGCTTTATACATGCCGCACCTTTCAAGTAATTGTTGATTGTGTCGTTAGGCACCCGAACAAAATTCTAACCCTTATATGATAAATGTTGAAGTAGTGGACAAAAGGTCCCCCTGTCTATGGCAGTTGGGCAAAAAGCCCCATTTTCTTTTAACTGCCAAAATAACTGTTGGTTTCATGTTGGAGTTTGAATTTTGACAAATAGCTGAAGTTTCAAATAGAGGAACACGGGGTAGGCAATTAGATAGACAGAGAAGAAGCATGCACACACATACACAAAGAATTACAAAGGGAATTGAGAACAAAAAATATTGAACAAAGAAAGATAAGACCATGCCAAAAACAAGATAATTGGGACACGTAAGTCCCGTTTCTCTTGTTTCCCTCAATATAAATTCCGTTTTTTTCATGTATTTACTAATTCTGAGGTTTTCTTGTTTGAATTTTGTAATGGGATCTAAGTAACAAAGCATTCTTGAGTGCTTTAGGAGAATGTACCCGATTAATATGGATGAACGCCTACACAGGGTTGAATTCGATTGTTATGCTTTGTGAATTCTTTCTTGAGTGCTCGAGGAGAATGTACCCAATTAATCTGGGAGAACGTAACCGATTTATTTTGCGAATTATTTTTTTTATATTTCTATTAGCTTGTGGGCTGACAAGATCCGTTCTTATATATATATATATATATATATAAACATTTATATAAGGTTACAACCTTAAAATGTAGAATTAAGGTGCACCTCAAAAATCCATCATAAAATGTTGTTTGATGTTGGAAAACCCTCTAATTGATCATCTCAACATCAAGATGTATGAATATAAAAGGAAAAAAATATTTCGCGGTTTCGAGAAAAGGGCTCATTTGCAGCTATGGATCTAGCAACGAAAACTGAAGATTGGGACTGAATATTTCAGGCTGCAACCGCTTTCAGCATCCATTTTGGGTGTTCTTGGACCCACAACGAAAACTGAAGATTGGGATTGAAGGAGCTAGCAGCTAGCTAGTTAAAAAATAGTGTTTCTTGCAACACATTATTTGGACCGTGTATTTTCAAAATTTTCATGTGTTTGTAGATCTACTTCATTTGAACCATTTTTGGAGTTTAAATTTTTATAATTGGAGATCAAAATAGATTCTCAAGCCATCCTAAAGAATTTTAGACACCAAATTTACATTTGTGATAAAATTTGAAGGCATGCCTTAATTTGATTGTTTAAGGTTGCAAACCACACCTATATATATATATATATATATATATATATATATATATATAGTAAGTAAAGTAAACGTTAACTAACTAGTGTAGTATTAGTATAGTTCTTCCTACCACCAA